TTGCATCTGACATCTAAGTAGACTCGAACATGTTTGTTTTGAAAATCAGCATTCGAAATCTTGCTTTTTACATTGTTTTGAACAGGCATTTCCGGCACCGTTAAAGAATAGGTAACTATGCAGGCATCTATAATTTCTAATTGCAGCCTGTAAAGACAAGCATCATTCTATTTTTAAATAATCCTGTAATCTCTATCAAAAATGGTGTTTATCATAGGAGACATCGCCGTGAAGAGGTAATCAGTAATTCTAGGGTTAAAATGCCGAACATGATACGAGGTTTGTAATTTCATCTCAAATCAAAACAGCTTGTTTATGTCAGAAGGAAAAGAGGAAAAAGAACCGATTTGTTAAGGAAATTATGAAAAATTGCTGCTTGCAAATAAATGGTAAAAAGGGAATGAAAGGTTACGAAAGAAAGAATAAAATAAATGGTAAGAACGAAAAATAGAATTGAAAACGAGAAACAATGAAGAAAATGAAAGAAATAAGAAAGCACAAGTATGAAAAAAAGAATAAGGAAAATGAAAGAAAGAAAAAACGAAAGGAGAGAAAAGAAAAACGAAAACAAGGTAGAAGAAAACAAACGGAAGAAATAAATTATGAAAGAAAAGAGAAAAAGAAATAAGAATAGAAAAAAAAGAAAAGATAGAACACGAAAAAGAAATGAAGAAGGAAAAAAGAAAGAAAGATGAAAAGGAAAGAAAAATAGAGAAAAGCAAAGAAAGAACACGAAAAGAAATGAAAAAAGAAAGAATAGAGAAAAGAACAGAAAGAATATGAAAAAGAAATGAAAAAAGTAAAAGAAAGAAGAAAGATGAAAGAGAAAGAAGAATAGAGAAAAAAAAAGAAAGAATATGAAAAAGAAATGAAAAAGGTAAAAGAAACAAGAAAGATGAAAGAGAAAGAAGAATGGAGAAAAGAATATGAAAAAGGAAACATAAAAGAGAAACGGAAGAAAGAGGAAAAAAGAAAAAAATGATATGGGAGAAAGGAAAAATGAGAAAAGAAAGAAAAAAGAAATAAAGAACGAAAAGAAAGAAAAAGGAAAACGAAAGAAACAATGAAGAAAAGATTCCCCCAATGATAAATAACGAAAAAGAAAAAAAAGAAAAATCAAGAGAAAAAACAAAAAACACGAGAAACAAAAAAGTTTTATCTTGTGTTTGTTTTTTTCTCTTTTTTTATCACTTTTTTTCTACTTTTATTCTCTATTCAACAGGCTTTTGAACATCAAAGATGAATGGTTCATTCAATCAGAATTCGCTAAATATATCAGTGTTAATATTTACAAACTTTTACTCATTTAATATATTGACATGCTTTAAAATTCCCGGAATAAAATGCAATTAACAACAAACGACGTATTTCCGACACGATCGATTGTCGAAAAGTGAAAAAATTATATAGTTGTTAAGATAATAATAACTGATCACAAAAATTCAAAATACTGGTATGCATAGGCGAAGGTACACTGGGATAGCGAAAGAAGCCTCCCTAAAAGCTAAGCAAAGTATTAAGAAACAGAAAATTTTCGTTAGAAACAAATAAAAGAGCACTGAACTCTTACGGAACATCAGTCCTCCTATATTGGGGGTAAATGCGCAGAAATCTCCTCACAAATAAAAGAGAGACCGGAAGCCACAGAAATTTGGCTCTACAGAAGGATGCTGAGAATACCATGGAACAAACATATGAGCAACAACAAAGTTTTAGAGAAAATGGAAACAAAAAGGATAATTATATTTAACATCAGCAAGAGACAGTTGAAATTTGTACGGCACAAAATGAAGAAAGAGGACTTTTGAAAATATTATATTCACAGAACAGATTGAAGGCAAGAGGGTCAGTGGAAGCAACACATGAGCTACTCATGGATGGTATAACATACTTTAAGATAGATAGCAAAAGACAAAATTTACTAAGAGCTACAAAGGACAAGGAATTATGGGGATACATGATCGTCAGCATCCTGAAGGAGCACGGCGCATAGAAGAAGAAGAAGAAGAAGAAGAAGGAGGAGGAGGAGGTAGAGGAGGTGAAGAAGAAGAGGAGGTGAAGAAGAAGAGGAAGAAGAGGAGGAGAAGAAGAAGAAGGAGGAGGAGGAAGAAGAGGAGGAAGAAGAAGAAGGGGGAGGAGGAGGAAGAGGAGGAGGAAGAAGAAGAAGGGAGGAGGAAGAAGAAGGAGGAGGAAGAAGGACGAAGAAGGACGAGGAAGAGGAGGTGAAGAAGAAGAAGGAGGAGGAAAGAAGAGGAAGTGAAGAAGAAGGAGGAGGAGGAAGAAGAGGAAGTGAAGAAGAAGAAGGAGGTGAAGAAGAAGAAGGAAGAGGAGGAGGAAGAAGAGAAGGTGAAGAAGAAGAAGGAGGAGGAAGAAGAGGATGTGAAGAAGAGGGAGGAGGAGGAGGGAGGGAGAAGAAGACGAAGAAAAGATGGGATGCACAGGATGTAAGTCGTGGATGCAAAACTCGGCCCGAAACGAATTTCAGTTGAAATAACTAAAGCTTGGTCAAAACGGAAAACCTCAACAAATGGCTTTGTCTGGCTTCTCGCTAGAGCAATTTCTTTTTATTCAATACGTTTGCAAATGTTCTCGATCAAAGTAACAACTCTATAGTATAGAATGATTTATTTTTAAAATTTTTGATAGTAAAAATTAGCAGTGATTTCAAATTATATATATATATATATATATATATATATATATATATAATTATCTAATTATCTTGTTCAAGATTATAATCTAAATATAGCCTCTAAATTTTGCTCACAAGGAAAATTTATAAAAATTTCTTTTTAACCCCCTCCGGACACCGCCCACTTATAAATCACTTGGTCTTGCTTTAAGATATTGGGGGCATATATTTGATTTTGTTATGGGCGCTAATGAAGACATTTCAGGAAATTTGGGCTACTGGTGCAAAACCGCCTATAAATCTACTATTAAGATGCTTAGTACATTCCTGAATATAATAATAATAATAATAATAATAAAAAATTTGTAACACGGCGCAAACTCCTTTTTTTTACTGAAAGACAGTAAGAAGTAAAAAAAAGAAAAACAATGAGAAAATAAAGAGAGAACAAGAAAGACAGAGAAAGAAGTAAAGAGAGAGAGAGAAGAAAAAAGAAACACAATAAGATAATAAAGAGAGAACAAGAAAGAGAAAGAGAGAAGAAATAGACGAAAAACAATAAGAGAATAAAGAGAGAAAAGAGAGAGAGAGAACAAAAAAAGAAGTAACACAATAAGAAATAAAGAGAAAACAAAAGAGAAAGAGAAGAAAAAGAAACACATTAAGAGAATAAAAAGAGATTTAAAAAAAGAAAGAATGAAAGGAAAGAAAATGAAAAGAATATGAGTTCCGTTAATGCATGACGTAAGATGTAAGTTCTAACCTCAATCACAGAGTTATCACCCTTTGCTGTGATCCACTCCTGAGCCGACATCTGAACATTTCCAAGTGGGTGTGATTTGATTGGTCGAAACTGATCAATCAGCAAGCTAGATTGAAGGTGATTAACCAATGAATGCTTGTTATATATTTTGTAAGATGCTGATGGTGAAAGTCACAACAGGAATAGTGCATTTCCTAGCAGGGGTGAACTGGCTGTTGTGGAAGATTCCACAATATTATATTATTATGGAATATATAAAATAATATAATATAATATAATATTATATTACAATAATAAATAGTATTTGGTTAAGTTATTGTCGTCCACATAAGCGAAGCTTCCCAGAGATACGGGAAGCGAATTAGAGTCTTTTTAGAAGGTAATTCTTTATTCTGATTTCAGCTTACTTTAACGGTCGGATAGTATTCCACCCGGAAAGTCGAGATAAAAAAAAAGAAGATAAGCAAAGGAAATGTCTAGCCGGAAATGAATCGTAGAAATACTTCCGCTTTGAATTCGGATAATTCAAGAAAAGCATCTTAACTAAACAGGAAGGTATTAATGAAAAATACGTAGCCTGTTATTTTATCTTGTATATAGACTAACTCCTGATTTGTTTGTTTAACGGCATATCAACTCCTTATGGGTCATGGTGGGTTATCGCTCCTTCCTCTACGAGGACAATGACTGTAAATATGTGTACAAGGACTAAAAGATGGCGGAGTGAGAAAAATAGAAGATAATCAGTAATATAAACCACAGATAGATTACTTTAGAATAGGCAAAAATACGTTAAAATTATTTGAATTTTTATTACATTTTATTTTAATGCAATCAGTGCATGACCGACTGATTCACCTTCCAGCTATGAGACCCCCGGTTCGAATCTGACCATGACATTGTTTGTTTTTTGTTTTTTTAAAGAAAGGTGACGTCTTATAATCTTAGAGAGGCGATCACAACGCGCAGCACTGTTGGAAAATGTCTGCAAACCATACCACTGGTTGACCAAAAGGCCTGTGAATAAAATTGGGTAGACTGGACTATTTCGAAAACCATCGATGGTTTTGCTGGCAGATGCTCATCCTGACCGAAGGTTTGAACATCTCTTTTGAACTTTTGATCACGCCAGATTATGCCCTCTCTCCCAAAAACTTCTGGCTATGACCCACTCAGCATAGTTGTATTACTAAACGCTGGCAGGCTTTGTGAGTGTTGAATAAACACAAATATGCCTGAGCAGGCGTCTAAAATGAGGATTGGCTAACCGCGGATGTGTTCAGAAACGAGTAGTCAGGCATTATTTTAAGAGAGTGATGTAAATAGTATTTGTTTAACTTTTTATATTTCTGAGATGAGGTAACTATTTATATCATTCGGACTGTTGTCCTCATCTTTGTTGCCAGGTGATTCGAATGACGAACTGAACCCTTTATTTCGCTAGCTGGAGTAGACTGTTCTAGTTCCACGTTCCATGTCTAATGGATGACAGTTATCTCCTGTTTTATTCACCCCCACAAAGTTCCCCACTGCCTTAACCAGTGATTGAATTCTCAACTCTTTGGGGCCTGTCACTTGATCTAATCAACGCCTTTATCCACTTAAGGACATTCCAAAGGTCGGAGCGTACAAAGGCCGAAACGTTGTGATAAATATGGCAAGAAAGATGACGATAATCCGAATAATGTAAATAGTCTACATAATACCTCATCTCAGGGCACCTCAAGGCGGTGTAATGGTTAGCAAGCTTGTCTTGCTAGAACAGTTACGACTGAGTAGTGAGTTCGATCCTCACTAGGTGCATCATACTTTCGGCCTTGTGCCACATCTAAGCTACGCTTGGAAAATCGTTAATACCTCTTCTCAAAAATATAGACAGTTTCATTTTCAGTTAGTTCCCTTTAGTAGCTCAACTCTCCAAATTGTTGATTGCTCTGCTGTGGTTAGAACTCACAACCCTTTGGGTCAAGACACTTACGTCAATCTTCAATCCCCAACGCATTTATTCACTGAGCCATGTGTCCTTGGGTCATCAGTGATTCAAATGTTTGGACTTATAAACCTAATGTCTCAATAGCCATGATTCCTTTCTTTACAATGGTGGTAGTAGTCGAAATTGAGGTACTGTCCGGTGAATGTTGGCTTGCAGTAGACTGATGTCTTGAACCTATGCACTGTTCGTGATATTAGAATACTAGTTTGTTGTTGTTTTCTCACTATCCATTCTGAAATGTATTGATGGTCATATTAAGTTCACATTTTCCAGTAGTAACTGGACCTTTTCCCGTTGGAGCCAAAGTATGAAGGTATCATCTACATATCTCAGCCATAGAGTTGGCTTTAATGATATTGATTCTAATGCCATTTTCTCGAAGTATTTCATGTATAATTGCTAACTTCCTGAATATGGCAGTAAAGATGAGGACAATAGTCCGAATTATGTAAATAGTATAATATTTTTAGCAAAAACCTAAAGTATTCAAGTTCTAAAAGTTTATTAATGATAATTTTAAAAGTAACAATATAAAATCAAATTTGTTAATTCCATTTATTTAATGAAATCTATCGCCGAAAAATTCAAATATATCCATTAACGTTTTTCAAGGTTAATGACTAGTTTATTTATAATTATCCTTTGATAAACAGGAGAGAAAAAACACGAAAATACTGCAAGAAACTTTGTAGCTGCACCCACATATAAGTCATATTTGCAACCCCCAAGAGGATTACCAATTTTAGATCACCAATATGCCAGCTTCATAGACCATACGAATTGCTAATTCAGTTATTGTTGTACGCCAGGTCACGCGTGAGCATCCGAGATTTCTTTCAATTTATGAAGGCATCTGAAAGGAGAAATCCATCGAGTACAAAATGTAATTTTCGACACTCCACTGGCTTATATAAAATGGCTGCCATCAAACTCGATTGAGTTTATCTACTTCCCTTCAGTATGCCCATTGCTCTACAGTTGGCGTTTCATACAAGATACTGTGCGGTCGATGGTTACTGTTTGGCCTTCGGGCATCGGTCAGACATTCAATGAATAAAATTATCAACTTTATTGACTGAGAAGTAGACTTCAGCTAAGAATGGAATAAAAAGAAAATTTTGATTTTTTAAGACTCCAGACCAGCTTGAAAATACGAACAACCGAATTTAGGTGACTTAAGTGAATGATGTTCACGCTGAAAACATCTTAATGTTCTCTTTACACACGAAAAGAGTAAATCCTAACAAGCACACACACATATATATATATATATATATATATATATATATATATATATATATATATATATATATATATATATATATATATTTGAAAAGTTTTTACTTAGTATTTCTCATTTTTGTCTCGATTAGATTTTATCTTAATTTGGATAATTAACTAACTTCCGATTTTTGTTACTGAGTTGTACAATTCTTTCTTTCTTTCTTTCTTTCCTTCCTTCCTTCCTTCCTTCTTTCTTTATTTACTTACTTTAACCCCTCCTTCTTTCCTTCCAATCTTCTCCCCTTTCTTCTTATATTCCCTCTTTCCTTCCTTTATTCCTTCCATATATTGCTTCTTTCCTTTATTCCTCTCTTTCTCTATTCCTTCCTCCGCCTTCCTTCATTCTTTCCTTCAACTATTTCTATATTCTTCCTTTATTCCTTCCTTCCTTCCAATATTAACTTTTTTCTGATATTCCCTCCTTCCATTATTTCTTCTTTCTCATATCCATCCCTTCCTATATATCTTGTTTCCTTCCATTAATCCTTCCTTCCTTTCATTCCTCCTATATTCCTTCCTTCTTCACTCCTTCTCTGTAATCCTTCCTTCCAATATTCCTTCATTCAGTTCTTCCTTCCAATATTCTTTCGTTCAATTCTTCCTTCCAATATTCTTATATTCTTCTTTCCTTCCAATATTCCTTCCTTTCCTTCATCTTTTCATCCAGTATTCTTTCCATGTATAACATTCATCTTTCAAATATTTGTCATTTTCTTATTTATTTGTTCGTTGATATCTTATATATTTATATTTTTGCCCGTTTGATTTCGAACATTGAACAGAATAACGTTTCTTGTTAATTCTAAAACATGTCTTAACATTACTAAG